AGCCCAAACCGGATCAAAAATTCTCGCTTGGAATAGGAAATAAAAAAACATATGATCATGAGGCTCCTCCTCTGTGCCAAGCTACGATTCTTGTCGTGTTCTGAAGGAAAGCGCTCTGGTGGTCTCCGGGAACGAGCACGCGTTTCTCTAGAAAAAGATCATCACCGCTGTCCAGGAAGAAACCGGATATTCTTGAACATGGCAAAGCAAAACACAGCCCGAGGCTATTCCAAGGAACCTGTATTATACAGCCCATCCATAACTGTACAAAGCACGTCGATCATAGTAGGGCCTTTCAACATATTTAACTTGCAAAGACATGTTATCAATCTAAATAACCTAGGACCTAGGCAACTTGGAAAAAGGATCCCAATCATTCCAAACCGCAAAACATATGGGCGGCCTATTTGTGGTTGGCTTACAATTCACCAGGTAGATCGAACAGTTGTCCATTGGACGCCCCTTAAGCTGAAAACCATTGGACGCCCCTTAGAAATCTAAGTGTTTGACAAGTGCTTTCGAGGGATCCTCGTGTAGAATCACAACTTTTGTAAGGGATACTTGTGAATGGACTGGATTTGGGGAATGTACCAACCAAGGGTCGATCACCGGTACGATTCGGGTCCATTCGGGTCGATCACCGACGTGCCCTGAGGCAAGACCCGAAAGGAATCCCGATGTAAGATTTCCAAGTAACACATCCCCGATGTAAGAGAACCAAGTAACAATCCCGATCTAAGAAAACAACGTGAAAAAAAACGTCAGCCGCCTGCGTGTCAATCCGTGTCATTCCGTGTCGGTGGCCGAAACCCGAGGAAACCAAGGGGTGCTCATTGGACACCCCTTAAGCCGTAAGCCCGATGTAAGCCCACACCGTGTCATTCCGTGTCATTCCATGTCGCCCGATCTCGATTTTCGTGGTTCAGCCCATCGGGATTTGTTTCACTTTGTTATCTTAGATCGGGATTGTTACTTGGTTCTCTTACATCGGGGATGTGTTACTTGGAAATCTTACATCGGGATTTTCCTTTGGGTCCTGAACTACGAATGGGTCCAGATGTCGAGGTTGGCCGCGGCACCAGGGCGCGTGGCGGATCGTGACGGATCGATCGAGACCCAGGGTGGACTGGTTGCAGGCGTTTTCGCATTGGGAACCTTAGTTTTTTGTGGTCCGTCATTCTTGGCTTTAAGGGGTGCTCATTGGACGCCCCTTACAGATAGATGAACATCAAAACTCATTAGACGCCCCTTTGATTCGTCTGGCAAACTTAGATTTATATATATATTCTCATAAAGATCTAGTCACATAATATGTTGTACAATGTTATACATGTGGGATATGTCTTCAAGTCCTATTGGGTGGCTGACATGTATTGACATGTATCATGTTTTGATCATTGTTGATCTTTCTTCATCCTGTTCGTGTTGGCATTTGTTTCACGCTGGTCTCGCCTCCACCGTCTCCAGCCACCGAGCGTCGTTGCCTCCCAACGACAGCACCACCCACTTGACGTCCTCCAGTCGCCGGAGGTTCTCGACGGAGCGGATCACGCCGTCGCTGTCCACAACATACTCTTTGTCCTCCGAAGATGGAAATTGATGGCATCACCATGGCACCGTAGCTAAGCAGCTTCTAGGTTGGAGGCCATTGCTAGTAGGTTCCTTTTGCTATTAGGTTCATCAGCACCGATGGCACCACCATGGCACCGTAGCACCAGCTGTTTGGTCTTCGGATTTCATGATCACCATCCTTGTGACCGACGTGAGTGACTCAGTGACTCATGTGGCAGCGGAAGAGGAAACCGGACACCGCTTCAGCACCGACAAACCAGTACGCAGCGAGAAAACAGCGGTCGAATTGGGGCAAAACACGGCAATGAAGCGAATGGACACTCCACTTCAAGAGTCAATCCACATCTTCGGACAGCTACGGTCGTCCTGTTCGAAGAACTCTTGTTTGCTCACTTTGCTTGGTCATTTCACTTGGAGAATGGACCAGAATACATCTGAAGACCTGGTTCGATGTCTGTGTCTCCGTTTTTTTTTAAATATCTTAACTAACGAAGTGGTCCAATAAGGGTCCTCCACCAACCTGCCTTCAACTGTATGCCACCTTCCATCTCCAAACAGCACTCCAACAGGTCGACCGGAACAACTTACTCGGGCCTCATCATCTTCAAATGCAACCAGTTTTCGAGCCTTTGCATAAGTCTCCCATGGATTCTCCTCAGATGGCGTCTCGTGTGGCTTTGCCGCATGTTGATGCATCTTGCATTGCCCAACATTGTTGTGAAAGCAGAAGTGTCAAAACCCCAGGTTGGACCCCAAGCCATGATTTTGGATAGCTCGTACTGTACACAAACACACCACCCGCGAGACTGTTCTCACTTCTTGTTCTCAAACCAAAACCCTTGATGAAGCTTTCCGTGCTGCTACCCATTGTCACATGGCTGTGTAACCCTTTGCAACAAAATATCCTTAAGGTAGTTCCCTGCAGGGGGTTCTCAAAGCCCATTTCAAAGAGCTAACCTGCAGGGAATATAACTCTACATCCTTGACCTCCGCGTGAAAAACACATTAATGTTGGATGCTGATTAGTAAATGGGCCCTCTATAATGCTAAATTTTTCCAAAATTATTCAGACCCCCCTGTTTGAAAAATGGTACCTCTATAATGCTAACTTTTTTTTGGGCCCTAAATTTTCAATTTGGAAACCCAATTAATAAGGGTTTGAATTCCTTCTGAGGCCAAAGATTATGATTCATTAGCTGATATAGCTTTCTCTAGGTTTCTTCAAAACTGACAGCTGACCAAAACCACCAATTCCCCAATTAAACCCTTTATAAAACATTGCTCCTAAACAAATTTTCAAGGTAGTAGACCAGGAAGGCACCTGATCCTCAATAATAAATTTGTTTTTGGGTCCTCAATTGTGAAAAGTTTTTTCCACTGGAAAAATTGCTCATGGAATCTTCCTTTACTTAGGAAGCCACGGAAGCTGAGGAAGAAGCTGAAAGCTTGGGGCTTCTCTTGAGCTGAAGATCTGAGGCTGCAAAGCAAAAGGATTACTGAGAACAATTACAAAGCACCTGAGAAAGGAAGCTGAATACTACAATCAATTACAAAAGGAATCCTCACAGGAATCCAGATTTGTTTTGGTGGTAATTTACTATAGAGGGACCTCTATTTGTTTGAAGGGGGGGGACCCCCGTTTAATCAGGATCGAACATTAACTGCCCCTGACTTCAGTTTACACAGCTGCAGTGATGCAAGAACGTCTTTTCCCTCGCCAAATCTCATGATCATTCTTGCATATGGTGTGTCCATCATCCCCTTCCCCTTCAGTAAAATCCCCTAAAACCTAACTAGAGCCGGTGTCTTGAGCATGATTCATGGCATGTGTTCCAAAACGTTAAACACGCCCCCTCCTCCAAAGGAAAAAACAAACAAACCTGAGACTTCACCATACTGAAACATGCTGGACATCTGATCCCAGAAGCCTTTGATCGTGCCACTGGTTTGCTGCATTGGGACAAATGGGAAAGTCGTGTCAGCGGTTAAAGGAAATGGCCAACACATCCTCATGAAACATGTTCTCTCTATAAAATCAAACCCTGGGGAGGGTGGATATATCAGTTTATACAGTAGGTTATATAGGCCACGCCATGTTATATGGAAAACCACCAAGCGCATCACACAAAATCGTGTCCAAAGCATCGCTTTGGGCCCAGCGGCTTGAGGCTTTCGTTCCACAAAGTCGAAGGTGGTCATCTGGTCAACAGCCAGGTTCACGCATTGCAACTGCTTCACCTGCTGTGCAGCTGTCCAGATGCAATTCGTTGATCTCTAACTTCAGTAGTTGTTGATTAGATTGAATAATCACCTATATAGCAACTGCACCCCCTTTTGAGGGTAGCTTGATTTGATTTAGATCCACTTGAATAATCATTGCGGAATTATATGGAATTATACAGTAGGTGGAATGAGTTCGCATGGATAGCGGACTGAGATGACTACTGTTCGCCGGTGAGGTGAACAAACCAAAACGGCCACAGCAGCACCCTTCAACAGGTCACCCCTTGACAAAGACCTCTGATATCTTCTTAGATCTTCTTAGGGTTCGTACCTTTCTGTTTCAAAGGCTTATGTTCTTGGGTGCTTGAATTACCCAACTATACTGATTTCTTGACCCGACATCTCTGAACGCTTCCAAGCTCCTTCCCTCCATCTGGGTCCCCGTGTCCCTGCGCAGCCCCGCGGCGGAAAGCCGCCTTGGCGTTGCGCGACTTCGCCAGCTGCTCCTGCAGCTGGACACGCAAATGGCGCGTGGGCGTCTGCAGCCTTGGGCCAAAAGGAGAGGGGATCAAGGGGAGCATGGCGTCCGGTTTTGGGGCATGTGAGAATGTCTGGTGCGATTGGTTTCCGACGGTCTTCAAGAATCTTGGCCTCTTGCAGTTTGGACTCCCCGACAAAGTTGCAGCTTTCTGCATCTCTGGGAGCGGCTTTCTGCAGCTGGGAGGCCAAAAGAAGTTGTCCAGCACAGAATCGCCCATCAAGACCACCTTCCGTCGGTGACGTCCAAAGGATGCAGTGCTGACACACCACATTCGCAACGAAAACAGCCGTTGTGATCCTTGTGCCTTTGGAGCCGCTATGGTGTCCGAAAAGAGAAAAGGCGGAAGCGGAAGCCATGAATTGAAACCTGGCCTAAATTCAAAATGAGTTTGGCTGGAAAACAGGCGCCTGTTTCATGTTCGCACGGAGTGTTCGAACAGATTCGAACAGAATTCCCGTTGAGACGGAGTCGTTTTCTTCTTTATCTGGAGCCGAAAAGGGTGGCGTTTCGTTTGATCCCGTCGGACGCTGTCGCTCGCCATCTGCCGCCCGGCGCCCCCTCCTTGGAAGCTCTCAAACCTGGTCGCCCGGGACGGAAGGAAGGGCCGAAGGCAGCGCCCGGAGGAAGGACGGTCCTCACCCTGAAGGACGGTCACTTGGGTTCTGGGACCGTCTCACCGGAGGAGTGAGGTTTCGACATGTTCAGGACGAAGCCTCGCGGTGTCTTGAGTGCGAGTTTGGGTTGAGGCGGCTTAGAGCCTCTAAGCTACCAGAAGCTGTCACATCTCTGGGCCTTGTTTTCCGTAACTGTTTGGTTTGCTTGAACCACCGGGTTTAGGCATGCTCGATGCTTTCAACATCTTTCAACCATCACACAAGTTATGGTAGCCAACAACTTGGACGATAGACACACGAGAAACAGGTTATGAACCGCATCTGCTGTGTATGGAACCTCACCTTTGCTCACCACATCAAGTGATCAGTCAAGCTTGGCTTAGCTCTCTGTGCAACACCTGACCCGATGAACGCATAGAATGCCACAGTGCCCTCTGCTACAGAAAGACATGTCTTTGGATCCTGGTTGCCAGTGCCATGACTCGGGCTCGGCTCAAATGCAAATTCAGTAGATGGACAACCATGACTCATGAATAGATTTTGTTCTCCCTCGGCCATCAAGTCAGGCCAGTAGAGAGAGGAGGCTATGTATGGTGGCTCCAATCCCACGAAACAACATACCCAAACACTCCAGGTATGAAATATGTGCTTACATGGGTGGTTTGGGGGGTCAATGTAGGCATACATATTCCATACATGGAGTGTCTGGAATAAAACAAGCATGAACAAACTTGTCCAGAAAGCCTCTGTGGGTCAATTGACCTCCGCGGTAGTCCATGACAACATCTATGTCAGTCATTGTTATATACTTAGGAACCTATGGAAACCTATGACTGGATCTTCATGGTCGAACCAACCCCCCCACAACCCCCAAACCAAGGTGACACCAGTTTTCCGGCCGACCCAAACCAAAGGCCCTCAAAGACCCAAAAAGGCCCGGCATCTTTGGTGGTTTCTTCGCCTCCTCCTCGGTCCATGTCACCCGGATTCTCCACTCGTCGGGCCTGTCACTGCTCTCCTTTTCGACGCGGCGGCGGTCGCCGCACCGCCCGCGAGCAGCGGGAGCCAAGCCGCGCGTCCAGCGCGTCCAGCAGGTGAGGAGTGGAGTTGACGCCTGGAGATCCAGGTGAGATGTCAAAGGAGCCGGGAGACTTGAATAAGTTTAGCACTCCAAGCACCATTTAAAGGATTATAGCCTAATAGCGCACGTTGTTGGACAAACCCTTCTAGGAAGGCTGGGGCTTGTCCTTCAGATTTCGAGCGTAAAAGAAGTGAGACTTCTTAGGGCCAGCCTCAAGAGGAGAACTGTTGGGAAGGCCGGAGTTTTGTTAGTTTTCTTGATGTAGGAACAAGAAGCTACTAGGGGCTCCTGGCCTTACTACTAGGAGCAAGGATGCTACTAGGGGCTCCTGGCATCACTACTAGGAGTAAAGGATGCTACTAGGAGCAAGTTCTTGATGGCCTCGGACTCCGTGAGGACTCTTTCTTCGCACCTCCGATATGTTTAGGCCCGGCCCAAAGCTGTACACTGTATAGAGTCAGATGTATCATTGTTTCAATGTGGTTTCCAAGTACCCTGTCTTCCCCAACCTGGCGTTCCCAGTTTCAACCGAGGCTGGGGCTTTGAAAAGGCCAACAGTTGGAACATCGTTCCAAGCCCTACCAGTAGCAGTTAGTTTCTTTGGTCCCTTCACGAGGGTCATTTCTCAACTAACTTTTTAGCAGCTGACACAAATTCCACCCGGATAGCAAATGATAGCAAAAGCTCAACAGCTCAGATTTTTCTCTGAGCGATGTCGATGTGGGACGAATCTAAACGCGAACTCGTTGACTTCAACTTACCACAGCCTTTGTGCTTTTTGAGGTTGCAAAGGTCTATATACAAAGGTCGACACCCCTGAAATCACTTCAAACATCGCCTAAACAGGACGGTGCCCTGTAAATGAAAGGTTAAGTTTTGGTTATATATAAGGATGTGATAAAATGTTGTAAGTGTAATACACTTGCATCTTGCATCACTTCTGTCCCCCTGTCAGCTAACAAAATCCTTCTTGCACGACTTCACCGCTTCTGGCGCCTCTGCGGGATTCCATGCGTCACCGCGGAGGTGGTGACGCCGCATCCACCCGCAACAGCAAAGGCCACGTCCATGGCGTTTATCAACGTGGTCATAACGAGAAGCTCCGCCGAGAAGCGCCGAGCTGGTCTGTTCACCAGATATTCTGCTATAGACAATTCACCATGCGAGTTTTGGATGTTGAATTCATGGTTCACCCTAGGCAAGCAGGATGGTCGATGGCAGAGTCGATGGTCGATTCCGTGACCATCTTGATGGCGGAGTTGACTGCGAACATGGGACTAAAGGGCTCATGATGGTCTGGAAAGTGCACTTATGTACTCGGACTCCTGCACACCATGCATGTTGCTTGGATCTGATGCCATGATCTGAAGCTAGCATCTGGCCAAATGTTCCTCCGAAACGTGACGAAAGAAACCAGAACTCAGGTTCTAGAAGTTCTGTGTAACAAGTGAGGGATGGTTTGTCTGGAAGGTCTTTCTGATGTGGGGAAATATACCCATCCACGGACTAAAACATGAGGAGCCCGCAGGCCAGTTTGGCAAGTGGCCCTCTGGGGTCAGGCCCTTCCACCAATCATCATACTATAGATTTATCAAACGCGTCCTTTATTTTTGCCCGTTTTGTTCTGTTTTTGTTCTTGTCCCAGCCATCTCCATGGCGTGTGGCATCGTCCTCTTCTCGTTCACAATTTTTGGAGGTCAAGTGAATCAATGTGAATCACCATCTACCAGGACCACCAGCGCGGGCAAGCGTAGGATGCTGTAGGCTGCTGCCCACTTCGGTGTCAAGTATATTTTAAATCATATGATCAGTTACTGTGAAATCCACCTTGATGCATAACGCCCAGCACATAGGGGAATATCATTGTGCACATATAGTGTTTGTATCAATACACCAACCATGGCCCTTGTCAAATGAAAGCAATCAAGCTTGAAACAATCCTCGCGGGCATCAAGGTGTCTCCCATGGTCTTCAACCAACTCAAGACATTTTGTCATGCCCAGTGTTCACACATCTTCGCATCCCCCATCTTTCGTGGTCCTCCCTCCCCATGAACCCGCATCCCTCAGCAACGAACCGCATCCCTCATCAGCAACGCGTGACGCGCAGCGGCGAGGCAAATGAGCTTTTGAGGCTGATGGCCATTACGCCACTCCGGCCATTGACGAGGTGATGGCAGAATGATCCAGAAGGGTATAGGATTTTGTAGGCATCCGAACCAGTCTAGCCCAAAAGTGATCATGTATAATGTACCTTGGTCTGTTTGAATGGTCCGATATAGTCAGTCATGTCTTTATACATCCTGGGGTGGTCACGTGTGATTCTTGTTGTGAGTCTTCCATCTCTGTGTCCTTCGCCCACCTCAATGACTCAAGGACCTGGGGGCATCTCGCACCGCCCCTCATGCATGACGGACTTGTTGCAAGAAAGACCCAGAAACACGGCCGACGAACTTGGCCCCGCTTGCACTGAAGAAATCAAGCTCTTGAGCAGTTGAAGCAGATCTGGAATTAGCCGTCTCAAACATGAAAAACACAGAAAAGCCTGGTTCTGGAGAAATTCCATGAATTTGGTGTGTGTGTGTGTGTTGGTGTTTGTGTCAAAGATACTTGGTGGATCTACTTCGAGACATTCCAAGTCGGTGAAACTTTGCTGACAAGTCCTCCGACTAAGATGGGTAACGCACTTCTGGCATCCCATCCGTGCCATGGAGCACGTTAGGCTCCCGCCAAAAAAACGACAGCTACACGACAGAAACGAGGAGGTTGATCTACCATGATCTACCATGACATCCTCAAAATTGACCGGGAAGAGGAACTTCCCTTCTGGTGTTCATCATTTTCATCTGGAAGAATATTCAGCACTGCTGAACAAAAAACACGGATCAACCACAGGCTCGCTCTGGCGATTCTACATCATTCGATCATGACGCCCGGAGGTGGTCCCACCTTCGGCCAGTGATCGGGCAAACCACGAACGCCGTCCGGGAAACCGAGCGAACGGTCCGGGGCCCGCTCGTTCGTCCGTCCCAAGGTGGTCTTCCTGGGATCCAGTGGGTGGAAGTGGAAGATGGGCTCTTGCAAAGAAGAAGTAAACAATCTCCAAGCCCTGTACAGTTGAGTCCGGTGGAGTTGCAAAAGAAAGTGGCTGAGCTAAAGTTCGGAGCTGATGCCATGGTGCGGTTCAAACTGAAACATGTCCAAGAAAAACTGCCAAGTTCTACAATGGGACTGGTGGGCGGTTCTACGCTGCTACGCTGTAACTCGAGTTCTTGCAGGGAAACAACTCCCTGGAATTGGAACTCATTGAAGGTTTCGATCATATGGAATCGAAAACAACGAAGACGGTGAAACATGTCTCTGCGTGCCCTGGCACCAGTCTGAGTCCCAAACCCACATCAGCTGGTGGCATGGTTGCTGGTGGCACATAGCCTCCAAATCGCGAAGGATTTTACATCGGACTTTTACATCCCAAACGGTGGATTTGCAATTCTGCAAACAAACCAATGGTTCGCATCTGGCTTTTCTGTACCGAAGGCTGCGCAGTTCGACAGCCCTTTTGGGGGCACCTCCTGTTGAAGGAAACGAAGACCACCAACCGGTGCAATGTGTATTAAGTGTCGACATGCTGTTGCGAATGTACTGTGGGGAATCCGTCAAGCATATATATATATATATATACAGTGATGTATAGGATCATCTGGGCTTTGCTAGGCTTTGTTTGTTTGACGACCCAGCAGGGCCAGGATACCCCTGAGTGAAGATGGATTTCGTGCTTGATGTGTGTCTTTCTATGACAAGGAGTCAGCCAGCTCATGTTGTTGGGCACCCCCCCCCACGATCGCAGCGAAGTCACCCGGCACTTAATGGCTTTCTTGGTGCGTTCAGCGAAAAATACACTCTGAGTCACTGACATGGAAGTGGAAACCCACCTGCCATCCACATGGTCATTCACGGGGCCATCCACGGTTCCCCATGATCACTTCAGGGAGTGTATCTGATTCTCAGTGGAAGGAATGCTGTGTTGGTGTAGTTCCTCCATCTTCGTTGTGCCGAAGGAACGAAACCAGTCCATCCATGTCCAAACGACCACGGACTCCCCACTCCCCACTGTCGCTTGTTGTCATTATGTCTGACCACTCCCGTCTCACCCAAAAAAACAACTGGACCCAAGGAGAGAAGCTGAGGGTTGGGTGACGTGCCTTGACTCGTCGCTTTGCAGGCCAAGCACCAAAGCAACAGCAAAGCGATTGGAGACGCATGCAGCAGCTGGTGAATGGGCCAGCAAAAGAGGGCTTGTTGAGGGACAAACATGTTCGTCCTGGTTCTTAGAGAAGTGAGTGACCAAGAAATATCCTGGGAAAGCTGAGACTTCATCCAAACCTTCTAATCCTTCTAGCATCTGTACAAGGTGGAAATGGTCCTAAATGGATGATCTCGCATGGGTTCACCATGTTTTACCAATGACTGGGGGATTCCCTCGACTTGCAGCAACCGGATATCCCTCGACGGACTGCCTCCACCACCACCCCTGGAGATCCATGCGCCTGTCTCCATGGCGCTCTGGAGCACCGCTTCGAGACGGCCGTGCAGCAACGCCTCGGCCCGGGGTGGCCGGGGGCGGCCCTGGCCGGGTGAGCGTTGATGTTCTGTTTGATTGGATGACGGAGGTTCAATAGCATCTAAGGCTCTGAAGAGTCGTTTTGTGCTTGTGCTTAATATCAAGAAAGCGACGCTGTCCACAATTATCCGCACGTACGTTGTTTTTCACATTATATATAGCTGGTTGAAGATGGTGAAGAGGGCTCTGATTTTGCACAATGATCATCCTAGTCCCCATTTAGACAAACAAACATGGAGAGTGTTGCCAAAATCACAAGTCCATAGCTGAAGCCATGGATCCAAATGAGACATCTTACATCTTCTACCAGTCTATTCCGTAGACCTTGATTCAAAGGGTTCAAGATGGTTCAAGGATGCACTTTCAAAGAGATTGGCTCCAGGTTCCCATCTTCTCAGATCGATCAAACCGGTTTTTGTCCCTTCCTTTTCGCAGGCACAGCCCACCAGCACCTGTCGCGGCGGATCCCAGTGGAGATCCCACGTCATTTCATCCACTTCCCTCGCAGTGTCGACTGGGATGTGTACCCCACCGCAATATAGATTGTTTGAGGAATAAAACCCCCCCCATTTTGCTATTGAGATCTATTGGCAGTTTTCCAAGCGAAACAAAGGGGACAAAGAGCATTGTATCACGGTATCAATATCATTCAATATCAACAATCTACATTCTCCCAAAATTGTAGGGCTGACCACGACTGACCTTCTCACCTTCTCCCTTTCGACCAAGAAGCAGCGGTTCCGTCATCTGCCCCACCTTGGGTGGTTGGTGCGGTCCCACCCAGCATGCAGGGGAATGCACATTCCCTGAAGTGAGAAGTGGATTTCATGGCCTCTTGAAGGGCCATTTTCAGCATACTTAAACAGGTGGTGAAATTCACTCGACGAAACCATGATGATTCCAGGGGGAGTCAATCATTTGGGCGACCATCCGGAAACATTCCACTATAGTTAGTTGTTCTTCTTTCCTTCTATGTCCTTCTACCATACCTCCTGACACCCGAGCACATCACATCACAGTTGATGAAGGCATCCCATCTTCATCCGAAGTGGATCACATCTCTTTGGATTCTCTGGTTGAAGAACTTGGAATGGCATGGATTCAGAAGGGCGGGCTCTACTCTCTACCAATCGATGGGCTTTCAAACCTCTACCAACTCATTTCACTGCGTGCGGTTCGTAGCCAGTGACGCTGAGGTAAAATCCATGTTCCAACTAGCAAGGCATTTTATCAACATAGAGAGTCATCTGCCAATCAATGGGAAACTGGTCCTTTCATGGGCTATCCCACACCGGCTTCCAAAATTGATCTGGTGAGGGATGTTGAGCGGTCAAGTATCTTTGGATTAGCCCCGGTCGGTCGTCACCTGACTTCAGACTATTCCTCCAACATCCAAGAACCTTCAAGCAGCTAGCGCTCTCTGACCAACACAATCACGTGAAATGGGTCAGGGTGTCGACTGGCCTGCAATGACTACAGTCCACCAAAACGCAGCAT